AAGAATATCAAATACCTTCTGAAACTGAGAACATCTCAGAGCTTTTTTACTCTTCCAAAGGAGATGCAGGAAAGGTTTAGCACCATAATGATATATCTATCTTGCGGGCTAAGAATTAGGCTTGCAATCCATGCAGGCAGCAAATTTAAAAGCATGATCTTGTGCGTCCCGAAGATACCTGTTGGAGACTGTTAGCTAACACCTCTGTAGGCTAGTCACGTGGTAGGGATATGGGCAGGAGATGGAAAAATGGTGAATCATGACATGTTCAAAACCTGCTCTGGGGATCGCATTTCAAAGCAGTATGGAGAGAAGCAGGAAGGACTGGCCGTAAGTATTACGAGAAGTTAGTTCCCTTTCCAAAGAAGAACAGTGAAAGGAAGGAAGGAAGGAAAGAAGGAAGGAAGTGCTTCAATGCTATCCTATAATAGATTTATGTAGATTTTGTGTTTTTGTTTTTGGTTTTTTTTAAAGGAACAAGTATTTGAGTCAATTCCAAGGCAGCTCAAAAGGCTTCAGTTCGTCACGTTGCTGGTCTCTGAACTGAAAGTTTTTCAGGGTTACACAACAATGACTAAAACTAGAAACCTTTCAGACCATTTCCAAAATGAAGCAGGAAACTGAGGTGACTGCTAAACCAATGCTAGAGCAAGCTCCACTTCAAGGTGTGTGGGGTTGGAGTGAGAATACTCAATTTCATTTGGAGGTTTCAAGTTATTTTCTTTTTGATTTAATCTCATTCTCAGAACAGAATTATTCTGTAACCAAGCTGTTCACATTGTTTTGTTTAATGTTTTACAAACAGGCTGTTGACTGAAGTTGTCACTGAACAAAAATTCACCCCTACTTGTTTGCATAATTGGAAACTATAGTCATAAAATGGGTATAACAACAATTTGGTAGGTATTAGGTTAAGGTGCAGTATGAGAATTAAGCTAATAAGATATTCAGCCCTAAACTCAAAATATCATGATTAAATTGAAAATTGAATTTACTGAAAGCCTTTAAAAGGCGAAACTAGATGCTTAAAGCTCCTAAGCTGCTATTGTTCTGAGCAAGTTGATGAAAATCGTAGTTCAAGTTCTTCTGCTACAGCTACTGTATCCAAGAGGGACTAGATGAAAATAATAAATACACTAGAAAGACTTGCTTCTGCTGTTTCCTTTGTAGAGTAGCTCTTCACTGAGTATAAGTAGATGTTGGTTTAGTTCCTAGTTCAGTCACTGCACTGCTTTATGGCTTTTTAAATATGGGAATATTACTTACTTCCCATATCTAGCTGGGGGGAGTTTTTCAAAGATACCAAATATACACACCCCATGAACAGAGCAGCTCTGTGTCTCCATGTTTCAGTAGCCAACACAATCTGATCCTGGTCTTAGGTCAGATAATTAATAATACCTGGCTGATTTTCTGAACTCGGAGACTGATACATATACATGCTTTGGAAGGAATTCTGAACCATCTGTGGCATTTGCCCTAATGGAATCACTAAGATTTCTCTATTTCTATCTCACTTCTATCCTGCCTCGCTTCACTGCTCCGTTTTTGGCTCTGATAAGTTTTTCTTTTTTATGGAAATATGTTTATAAGAATGATTAGCAAAAGTACTGTAGATTTCAGCACACTTCCTGCACTAAAGAACAGAACAAAATGCAAGGGGAGGTTCATGATGTGTGCATACATGTCCAGAAACATCAACAACAAAACTCTATAGAAAGTAAAAGCAAAAAAAAAAAAGGGGGCAAGGGTTTGTGTGTTAGTGTTAGAGGAAGGTGAAAATACTTCCTGGCAACATCTGAGAATCATTTGAAGCAACTGATCCATGAGCTTTAGTGAGCAGAGAATGTTTTTGAATCCTCCCCCACTCCCTTTGTTAATCTTTACCAGGTAGTAGAAGCTTTAATGTAATTCATAGTGGTTTCTCACAGTTGTGTAAAATATTTTGTCCATTTTGAAAAACAAGATTTTTGAAATGGCTTTAAGATTTCAGTTCCTAAATCTGATTGTAAGTCTGTTTAAGATTTAGTAATAATAGTAGTCTTCAGACTGTTCTGCAAAAGGCAGTGTGTCTCAGTAGACTGAGCAATGAACATCTGGCTTCATATCCTCACTGCCTCTCATCTGAAATAGGAAAATCACGTGCCTTCTTATTATCCCCATGAATGAAGTGTGGATCATAATACTGACTTACATAATTCAGAAATATTGAAGGATGTTATTTTATGCTGTAAAAATGTTCTGAGCAACATCAAATGATGTAAAAGAGTTAGTAATTATGATGCGTAACTATTATTGTGCTCGGGACACTCTAAGAGGTAGCCTGCAAAGTTCAGATTTGGCTCAATTTAAAGCACACCCAAAATACTGGGCAACATTTTTAGATGGTTTTGATTGACTTAGGAGGCTATTTCCTAAGACTTTAAAGCACATTTGGGATCGTAGGTCATTTGGGGCATGTCTCCACTGTGCAGTGCCAAATGGCTCCGAGCAAACAAATTTTCAACATGGAGAGAGATTAACTTAGATCCTAACAGCAATACATAAGTGTGTTAGTTTTGCCCTGCACTGATTCCTTCTACTCCATTCAGCTCCTGAGCTAGAATATTTGGTGCTGGTTTAGGACTCCCTGCATCATGTTCCCTTTCTTATTGTAGACACACAATTAACTGTTTGCATTGCAAAGTCCCATCCACCATCTTATTGTGTGGCTTCATTTATTCCAGTCAAAAACCCAGCACAGGTATTCATGAGTGTGTATAAATATACATATATATATATACTAAAAATCAAAGTGAACTTTTCCACATAATTGCATGTGTGACAGAGTGTGTGATTGTTGCCAGCACCAACCAAATTTAAAGATTGTGCCAACAAATCACCATTTTTGAAGTATGATGATTTGCTGATGGCAGCAGCAGAGAGTGAAATCAACACAGTAGCCTTTGATTCATGAACTGTTTTGTCCCTTTTAGAGTCCCAGGATGTTTGCGAATATTTTCAAGGAAATGTAGTTTGAATCAGTCAATAAACAAAAACATTATAACCCTAAGTGTGTTTTTCATTTCATATTATATTGGTTCCTGATTACAATTTGTTTCATTTTCACACCTCACATTATGAGGTTCTTAAAAAAATAACTCAGTAGTTTCCAGTTTTTGTTTGTTGTTATATATGACTTATAAAATGTTAGGTCAAGAGTCTTCAATGGAGTAGGCTGCAGTGTTTGTTTAAAGCTATGAGTAAAGCAAGTTATATGAATGTTTCCAAAGACTATATTCCAAGAAGTATTTTTGGAAACATTAATATTGTGTTTTTTAATGAAGGCCACATTCTGAGGCTACGACACCATATGTCACATTCATTTCTGTACTAAAAAAAAAAAAAGAAAAGAAAAAAGAAATGGAAACTATGTTTGGCTTTTAAGTGTTTTTGGAATAGTGTCTGTGCATGCTTGTCATTGTTCCTTGGATGGGAGAAAAGTTCTTGGTCTGTTAATCTAGTCCATCCAATATATATTACACTCTGTGGGCCCAACTCTCTTCTGCCTTAAAGTGTGTGCAGTCATTTATACTCAGGCAAAGTGAATGAAGAGCTGAGGAAAAAGACTACCACTGGGAGTCTTTTTTTGTAAATTCATTTTCCATGAATATGTTGGCTTCATTGTAAACCTACATGTGAACTTTTGTCAGCCGAAAGCAGCTTAAAAATGTGGAAAACACCTTCCATTTTCCATTGAAAACTTGCAATTTTTGGAAGAAAAATTACTTTTTTTCCTTCAAAAATATCAGTTAAAAGCATGACATTTGTCAAAAAATGTGGGTTTTTTTTCATCTAGCTCTATATACTGCCACTCTTCTGATTTGTCAGTGCTTTGTATGGTAGGGGTTGGGGTATGGTACAATGGGCTGGAGACAATGCAGGAAAAGGCATTTGCTTTTTTCAGTGCTGTATCCTACCAGTAATTCATAAGCATCCTGTAATTGATTTCTTCAACTAAGTCATTCCTTTTTTATATGATTCCAGTTGATGGTGGTCTCAGTTTCTAACATAAGTTCTTGTTATTAGTCACTAAATGTATAGCCTAGCGCTTTGTACTGCTGCATATCACATGGTTGCCATCTGCAAAGACATCCTTTTTTTTTTTTTTCTGATAGAGGAATCTCCTAATTTACATCACTTCCTAAATCTGTGTCATCCACAAATTTCATTGACATAGTGAATGTTTGTGTCAAAGTCATTAATAAAAATTTTGGATGCTTTGTGGCAGCCAGAATTTTTTTGCTTTAGGGAATGATCTGTGAGGGTTTCCAGGACCTCAAAGAGGTTTCTTTTTCATTTGAAATGTAAATACATTACTGCAAATTGAACAAATATGTCTCTCTAGCCCTAGCCCAGTAAAGTTCAATTCCATGACTAGGTGTTTCTGAGCAATACTGAGTACAAATAATGATGAATGATTGTATGGTTGCTACATTTTCTAGTTAAGACACATTAGCACAGAACTTGTCTGCCCATGCTACTGAAGTCTTATGGCTAAATGAAGGTGTTTTCCTAGGCATTTCTTCTAATGTAAGAAAACAAACAAACCCACAACAGACAGGAATAATTAACTCACTCAAGTATTTGGCTCACCTTAAAAGGGTGTGTGCATTCCTGTGAGTGTTCATGAGAGCCCATCCTGATTTGAATGCTACTTCTCCAGAACATTAGAAGAGATACCTACAGTGGGGTCACCACAAAAGTTTCTGATTTTTGTTTTCATCTAGATACCAAATTTTAAGATAGGTATGGAAATTTCTAGCTAGTTGTATTTCTAGTTGCCTCGTATTTCCAGGTTCCCTGAGTTTTTGAGTTATATTGTATAATTAATGTCAGAGGCTGTATTCTTCAAAAAAATTGCTCCTGATGCCCACACAATGGATGTATTTAGTTTTGATGTTACAGAGTCCCGGCACAGGAAATTAAAACAAAAATAAACTTTTTATTTTATTTCATAGATTTCCAATGAACAGAGAAAACGAATAGCCACTGGGACCACACGTGTTCTGTAAACTGATGTCACAGGGCAGATATGAAAAAGATGGCTGAACGGAGTGGTTGTTATAAGCCTGTAAACACACAGGGAAATGAGCTCGGTTACCAAGGTTCGTGTCAAGAAAGTCCTGAAAAGGGGATGAAAAGACTGCAAAAGCGATTTCTCCACAAGGATGGCAGCTGCAATGTGTACTTCAAACACATCTTTGGGGAATGGGAGAGCTATGTAGTAGACATATTTACCACGTTGGTGGACATCAAGTGGCGCCATATGTTTGTGATATTCTCACTGTCCTACGTTCTTTCTTGGTTGTTCTTTGGACTAGTCTTTTGGCTGATAGCAATCCAACATGGAGATTTATTCAACGATGAAGGAATAACCCCCTGTGTTGCAAATGTCCATAGCTTCACAGGAGCATTCTTATTCTCTCTTGAAACCCAAACGACCATCGGTTACGGTTACCGCTGTGTTACAGAAGAGTGTTCTGTTGCAATCCTCATGGTTATCCTACAGTCAGTATTAAGCTGCATTATTGACACATTCATAATTGGAGCAGCCTTGGCTAAAATGGCTACAGCTCGAAAAAGAGCTCAAACCATTCGTTTCAGCTACTATGCTGTAGTAGGTTTAAGGGATGACAAATTTTGCCTGATGTGGCGCATTGGTGATTTCCGGCCAAATCACATGGTTGAGGGCTCTGTACGAGCTCAGCTTCTGCGCTACCAGGAAGACAAGGAAGGGAGAATGACAATGGAATACAAGGACTTGAAGTTGCTAAATGACCAGATCATACTTGTTACTCCTGTAACAGTTGTACATGAAATTGATAGTGAGAGCCCCTTGTATGGTCTAGACCGGAAAGCTCTGGCCAAGGACAACTTTGAAATCTTGGTTACGTTTGTCTACACAGGGGATTCAACAGGAACTTCACATCAGTCAAGAAGCTCCTATGTCCCCAGAGAGATTCTTTGGGGCCATAGGTTTAACGATGTCTTGCATGTGAAGAAAAAATACTATAAAGTAGATTGCTTACAGTTTGAAGAAACCACAGAAGTTTATGCTCCTTACTGCAGTGCCAAGCAACTGGATCGGAAAGAGCAAGAATGGAACAGAACTGAGAATACACTGGAAAGAGAAACAGAGACATCAGCGCTGGAGAACAAGTCATTTAGTACAGACCAAAAGTCATTTAGTGCAGTTGCCCTGATCACCAGTTGTGAAGATCCAGAAGACGCAGTGACAACTGTCAAGCAGCCTTCTGCAGAAGTTTCTTATCAGAAAGCAGCTGTGACCTTAAGTAGACTGTCACTGGAATCCCAAATCTAGCTTTCACTGCACTTAAAATCACTTGCAAACTTCACCCAGCATAGCTTTTAGAATAAAAACAATGAACATATGCACAAGTATTTATATTATAAACCTCACTCTGACAACATGCCTACATTGCAGTACAGAGCTCAGCTGCTGGAATGAGCTTCATACTGGTTAGCGTGGGTATCAGTAACAGATTAGCATTGGCACAGTAAAACAGCTTACACTGGGTTGACTAGACAGCTACTGTACTTGAGCAAACTTATTCTCAACTCTTTACTACCCCACAGGGATCAATGTTGGACATGCCAAGAGAGAGATAATGATCTAGTCAGGGAACAAAAACAATATAGTGTGCCCTGTAGGTCAGACTTTTCGAAGCTGCTTAATTTATTTGGAAACCCAGCTCCCAATCACTCTGAAACTCCCCCACCATCAGAGCAAACAATTGCTCTTCCATGACAAAGGCACTCCTCCAGCAGTTCAAATGAAGCCCCTGTCCAGGAGTCATATTGGTAAATGTGTGGGGGTGTTCATTATGGGGGGGGGGAGTAAACTGGCAAGAAAACTGAACCCAGTATTACTGGGCAGCTCGGAAACCTGCTTACGCCCTTCCCAGCCCTGTGGGCTCCACAGTTGGATCCTGGAGAGTTTTTCTCAATTTCTGGTTGTGAGCCATTCCCAGAACTGCCCCTCCCTCAGCAGTTTGAGGTAGGTGGTATATTAGCTGGCTCAGGGCTGCATGAAGATTTTGTTTCATGGCTCTGAAGACTGGGAAGGTTGGCCAAACCTGCTCATTTGCATTCTTCAGAAATCAAAACGGGACCTCCAGTTTGAAATCAAAATCAGCAAAATCAGATTGAGCCTCAAAGAGGAAGATCAGCCTGGCTTTAGAATGAGCTTTCCAATACTTAGACTAAATGTATTTTCAATTCAGAATGTCAGCCTTGCTTTTATTTTGGTATATTATGCTTCTTTAAAAAGAATAAAAAAAATCAAGTTGGAGACCAAACAATGTGATTTTGTAAAAAAGAAAGATTTTTATTCACCTGAAATGATTTTGTAAAAATGATCCATCAAAGAGAAATTCAACATATTCAGCTGTCAGTTCAATTTGGGAAAAAAGCTAAATGTCAATATTCTGAAGTTGCCTATGACATGGAAGTTCCACACTCTGCACATCTTTGTTATTATCTAATATGCAATATCTCATCATGCTTTTTTTCTGATGATTGTGGTTAATTTGAATCATGTTTTAGTTATCGTTATAACATAGAAATAATTACCTCTCAATATTTGCCTAAAGTGTGATTTATCCATGAAGAAGCTAAGTGTCTACCTACTGGTCAAGGATCTCTAGTTATTGGAACTCTTTTTGTCTTCACAGAGTAGTTCATTCCATCCTAATACGGGTGTTTAGAGAGCTGACCGCAGTAGGATGGACTTCTCCTGGAAACGTCCTTCCATCTCTATTAATTGTTGAAGGCAATGAGATGACTGTTGTGGAAATGTTGGCTAACAGACTGCTAAATTAGGTCAGATGAGTCTATCCCATCATTCTGACTAACTGAAAGTTTTTATGAACTTATCACATATAATGAAGAAAAATGGCATGCAGATTTTTTTTCCAGAGACTTACTGCATACAATAGTACTGCTGCATTTTTTAAATATATCTTGCATTTCATTTTTGCTAACACTTTTATTTTGGATCCTATCTAATCCCTTTAAGTAAAATCAAGCATATTAACAAGCCTGGGGGTAGATGGTTATTCCTGGACTCATTAATTATCCTATCTTATATGCTGAATCATTGGGAACATCTGTCTATAACTGCAGTAGAAAACATCTCATCCTAGATGTATCAGTGCTGGCAGGCATTGGGGAAATAATCTGAAAAAAAAAAAGGGTGGTGTTGCAAAAAACACCATACAGGATGTATAAAATAGAATATAACTGTCAAGACATGTGAAGTAATCCTTCCACACTTTGAAGGATCTTGGCTGGATTACGTTATTGGATGTTGGGGCACCACACTTCAGCGAAGACGTGGAACAATTTGAAGAGAATCCTGAGATCTAGAAAGCATGTCAGTGAGAAAGCATTGAAATAAATGAAGGTGTTTGAGTCCAAAGAAGAGAAGAGGCATGCAGGAGACAGAGAAACAGTCTTCAAACACACAAAAACATACAACTCAAGAGGGACAGTCTGTTTGCTATATGTGGTGGGTAGGACAGGAAATGAGTTTAAACTGAAGCCAAAGAGATTCAAGTTAGACATTAGGAAAAATTGTCTTCTGGAAGCT